ATGGCGAAACATGGCATGAAGTCGAAAGAAATATGAACTTCTATTTAAACAAAATATCCATTTGGCTAGCTTTGAATAAACTGTCACTAAACATTGACAAAACAGTATATATGGCTTTTGGAAATAACTGCAATAGCAACTCAACATATCTACATATAAATATAAAGGGTGCATCCATTCGAAAAGTTGATAACACTAAGTACCTTGGAATGCATTTCGATAGCCATATGAGATGGGACCTGCATACAAACATGCTATACAATAGACTAAAATATCTAACTTATATTTTCCACAAATTATCTAGGATAATCAGCACAGATAATCTACGTATGATTTACTATGCACTTTTCCATAGCGTAACAACCTACGGTATTATAGCATGGGGTGGAGCATACATTGGAAGACTCAAATATATACAAACTCTACAAACACGACTATTACAAATAATAAATAAAAACAAGTTTATAAATGAAAAAAATCCACTAAACATAGATCAAACATTCACCATGGAATCACTAGTGTATCACTATGTCAACCTGCAAGATATGTTCCTGAAGAAAAATTCCGTAACAAGGAAAAAAACTATACAGCCCCTTAAAAGAAAATTAACAATCAGCATTAAAGATAGCTATACAAGAGCTTTAGCCACCTTCAATCAACTACCTTCTCACCTCAAAACTTTAAATAGCAATATAAAAACAATAAAGGATAAAATAAAAAAATGGATCAAAGGACATCCATTCTAGATACAGGAATACAATGAACCACAAAATATACTGCAACAGTTTACAACAAATCTATTACAAACTAAAGCAACAAGGGAACTTTGATAATAGTCTAAATTCAGCATTGGAAGTCCATGTTGATGTGGATAAGGATAAGTTTCTCCTGGATGTAAGGACATATTTGTGTTCACAAGGCACTTGTACACTTCATCAAAATCGAATCAACATAAATTTTATTAATAAATGTGAATACTGCACATACAAACAATTAATTGGTAAAAAACATATACATTTCATAAAAGAAGAAAACAAAGGAGATCACAAAGAATCAAATACAGATAAAGTAAGATATAAACTCATAGAAACAGTATTTAAACAAATAGACGACATTGCAGACAACAATAGTATGCAAATAGAAACAAGTAAACCAAAAAATATACCAGGAAAACCAATTCTACAAACAAATAATATTCGAATGACCAAGTGTCAATTTTTACACCATGAAATTCAAGTTTTATGCAAAAGAAACTTTACAATTATATATAAATTTATATAATTGGTACTGTAACGTTTGAGTGTATCTCGCGTTATTAAAATACTAGTTCGGACTCTTTACAATAAATTCGCAATAACGTCTCCGAGAAAAGCAAGAAGTTGACACGCGCGCAATCTAAATAATCAAAAGAAAATCTTTCGAGTGGCAAACCACGAGGCTTGCCAACTCGATGAGCTGCTTTGATGAGTGCAATTGATAGCAATCGCATCTATCGGGGAGAGGCCCGACAGCGCCGCGATTACTACTCAATTTGACTTCTCAACAATAGATATGTTTCAGGAGGGAAGATCTCTAAGGCTGCTTTTTTCTCATGAGAGAAATAGTCTCATGAGTTGAGCTCTTAGAGATCAGTAGGAAAGGAGTTCAACAGGCTAACCACTGAAAAGAAATTCGTCTCAAGAAATAGCTGAGGCTTTATTTCTACACAGTGCTCGCGCTGCTAAGCAAGGTAGGAAAGTGAGTCCTTTTGCCGCAGCGACGAGCGAATTTATACATGTGAAATGGGCTCCTTTCTACGCTTGGTAGCCCCTACAACGCTATTTTTGTCTTTGACGCAAATTTTGTACATGTTTTATTGCAAAATGGCTCGATCGAAATTGCAATTATGCGATTTAAAAAATTAAGCTAGAGAAGATGAATTTTTTAATATAAATTGCATCTCGAGGAAAAATCGCCTCTCAAAGTTATAAGTTATACAATTTAATAATCAAATTACGCCATTTTTACAATAAAATTATGGAAAATTTTTACATGGAAAAATCGCTTGTGGTTAAAAGATTGTTATCCATATAAAAGATGTTGCTCTCTAATTTTGAATAATAATTGAAAAACAGATTTGCAAATTTCTTTTTTAGCGGTTTAAAAATCAGCAAATTAGTAACAATCATAATCATCAATTTTACAGATACTTATGATCGATTTGCTATCTAACCGTGTTATTTTAATTGTTTAAAAAAATTATAAATTGTTTATTTATTGATAACTTAATGAGTAATTAGTTATCAAAGTGTCAAATTCTTGCTTTTCTGTTTTAATACGTCGAGATTGTAATCGTATGCTCGAAATAACAATAACATTGTTTATTGCAAAATAACTAACAATGTTAACTTGTAGATTAGATTTGACTAACAAATATCGATTTGAGAGTTATATCAACATGAAATTCAGAATCAGCACATCAAATTTAACTAAGAAATACTTTTGTTCGTTTAAAAAACTTTATAATTAACGATTTTCTGTTGTAAACAATAAATTTTCCCACGGTCGTGACGTCACGCTCCTTATATGGTAATGTTTTCGCAGAGTTGCCCTAACACATTTGCATATACGTGTGAAAAGCGCCTACGCTCAATTACCGATTTCCTCTAATTGTCTCGTGTGTGACGGATTGCCGTTTTGCAGAGGAAAATAGGAGACAAATCAGACAGGACCGTTACAGTACTACATGCCAGCATCTGTGCATAAGATACCTTATCATGGAGATAAAATCATTGACCATTTTGCACTAATTTCAATAGGTTTATTATCTGAAGAATCTCAGGAATCTCGAAACAAGGACGTGAAGCATTACCGAAAGTTCAATACAAGAAAGTGTAGTAGAATCGCTACTAATACCGATTTGATTCATAAATTACTTATTTCATCTGATCCATACACTCTAGTTTGAGATACAAAAGGAAAAACACTAAACTTGAAATAGATAAGGCTGCAAAAAATATGTTAATATTGGAACAATGGTAAATTATGATTACAAGAAGAACCTTTTTGGTTTTAATCAAGCACCCCAAACAGTGAGAGGCAAAGGGACTCACTTTAATCAAGCGCCCCAAAGGAAACAGTCCTTACTACGTCCACGTCGTTGTTTCTCGGTAGCGCTAAAAGTAAGATTAGCTCATTTAAAGCAACAGCTTCTGAGCACTTGTGAAAAATGAAATTTTAAAGTACAATTTCAGACTTAAAATATCTCGCTCTTTTCGAATTCGATGTCAAAATAGAGGTTTTCTATTAAAAAACTCTGACCTTCAAATGACCTTGAAAATTATTCGAAAGTCAAGTATATTTGCACAGACAGATAACTCTGATTATTCTAAATTTATTTTGCCTAAAACATGTTCTGGAACCATGCTTAGGAACGGATATGAAGTGGACATATATATGTTCGACTATATACCTAAGGCGTTATGGATTTAGGGTTTAGAATTCATGGTTTCAGGTCTTAAGGTTTATGATTTACAAAAATAACGCTTCGTAGATTTCTGACGAATTGAATTACCAATAATCTCGTTCAAGAAATTTTTAATCCCATTAAATATTGTTTCATCTAGGTGGTTTTGAACCAACCCGCCTCTATAGCTCCAATGTGCGGCGGGACGGGTTGCCACTGACCCCCAGAGAACGAGGTCTCCCACGGGGCACCCTCTCCCTCGCTCAGTGGGAAGGGTGCAACGTGTGCCATTACCCCGAGGTGACCCGCACAGACCGCTGTCCCCGTGTGCGGCAACACGTCGACCTGGTCCAGGAGAGGCTGAGATGGGAGGCACACGGGCGTCCCCCATTAGACGAAGAAGGCCGGTAAGAACAGATAAGACCAGCCAGGTGAACGATCCCTGCCCCCGTGGGCAGGGCCGCACACACACCATCTCCAAATAAAAATTGCTCGAAATATCACATGGACTATGACCATTTATTATCCTTTCTCCTATCCACCTCAGAAGGGACAGCGCTAATATTGTTATCGTCGAGGACCCCGTAGGTCCAGACTGGAAGGGGGCTGTGACGGTAAACGTCGAATTAGCGCTAATAGCCTAACCTAGTGCCTGTGGGGGCAACACTTATCGGTAGACGAAAAATGTAATGAGGGAATTCGGCACGCGACGAGGCGGAACGCGGGCGATTGAAAACGAACCAGTTAAGGATCAGCTAGCGACACGTTTGGCCGATCGTGCAGAATCTGCTACCGATACACGAGCCAAAAGTCGAGAATTAGAACCCGATCGCAGAGCTGCGCTACCGAGACTCTTGACGTTTCCCGAGTTTTTCCGGAGTGCCGATACGAGCCGAGTCGGAGCTGCGACAGCGGTGCCTCCGCCTGCCTGAAAAGCGTGTGTGAGAGTGCACGTGTGAGAAGACAGACTTTCCCGCAATGAGAGTGCGAATCGTTTCTTTCGTTCTTCGTACGACTGCAATAAAAGGTAAGCTGGCCAGCTTAATTTCGCGGTCGCGATATAATTGCTATACGACTAATTCCTCGATTCGACAAAAAGCGTGCATGTAACATCTCGGCAAACAAAGAGCGGCGAGCGATCCGACACTGCATGTTGTTGTCGTGCGCGCGGCATGTAAACCTAAACACGCGGGCCGAATTCAATGTAACATTAAGAGGTAATAAAAGTTCACGTATGTGATATAACAATACTTTTGAAGTGTTCTTTTCGTATTTGTAGATAGTTGGTTGACTGACACCCGTTCCATCCTGCTCTCTGATTTTCGTATTTAACATAGGTAAATATGTGCGCTTTTCGATACGATTACGCGGATAAATTAATTAAACGGTATTCACCCCCGTTACAGATTTTAAAATAATTTTTATTAACGTATTTTTTTTCATTCAATATTTATCCAATTTTTCTGGATAATATAATTAACAGTTATTTATATATTTCTAGATTATTAAATTAGTGATCTTAAAATTGTTATAGATTTAAAATGATTTTACATACCGTTTATTTGCTACCAAATTTACTTTTCCGGACAAAAGCTGACCACTCTTACAAAATAAAGGATTCTCAAGTAAACAGCGTACTTGATACCAATGGGTTAAAGGTTCTGTTGGTGCAGTACTAAGCCAAACTTCTTGCGTAGATCCAATAAATGCTACATCAAACCAGAAAGCAAGACCATGACAAGTTCCACTCTCAAGAATATGGAAATCCACTTTTATTTCTGAAAACAAAATAATTCAAATACCTGAACTAGCATCGTAAAATAAGATATAATGTAAATTCAAATGTGCAGTGAAAATTCATTATTGTTACAAAAGTAATAGTTACAAAGTTATTTATAACTGATTCTACAATTGAATTTCATAAACCAACAAGCCATCGATTATATAGATAATGATATTAATACAGAAAATACAGAAAAAATTCAATAAGATGAAGAAATGAAAGGAGATTATGATGGAAACAAAATAGAGGCTTATTAAACCTTGCAGGTTACAGAGATCGAGGTTAAAAAAATTAGAGTCTCTAAGTTCGGATTTAAATGAGTGCACATTACAGTGCTCGGGAAATAAGAAATTCGGGCTTGAAAGGCCTGAATTATAGAATCATAAATTGCAGAACTCGAGAGTTACGGAATTTGAGGTTTAAAGATCAGAAATATAGTATAGCAGGTTTTAGAGCTCGAGGGTTATAGAATTTGGCGTTAACGTTCCAAAAGTTATATAGTCACATGTTACAAAAATCGAAACGTAAGAAAATTATGGTAAGTGGGTTATATGGTCGCCGTTTACAGGGTTCGGGGGTTAAGGAATGGGGATTTTAAGAGTCAAGGGTTATAGTATTACGTGTTACAAGGCTCAAAGATTACGAAAATTAGGGTATGAGTCCATTCTACAGCGGAAAAGAGAGCCCTAGGATAGAATGTAAGCCCTACGACGGAAATTTTTTTCTTTTCTGCAATTTTTCGCCGTAAGTTTATTTTCCGCCCGATTTACATGCATATAACAGCATACTTTCGGTGGAGGCAAGGCAAAAAGATATTTTCAACGTGTATGTAACCATGGTACATGTATGTAATAAATTGTTTTTACAAACTCAAAGAGTTTTTTATAACATGTGAATAAAAATTACCATTTTCGGCTCCTATAAAGTGAACCAAAAATAGAGTTTCCCGAACATCACAAAGTGGAAAGAGAATTTTTCTCCAATGCATAAATTAATGATTTGATTCAATTTACATTCACTCGTTTTATTCTGATAGAAATGTAGCAGTCGTGCCTTACATGCAAAAACACAGCTTATATAAATTTTACCACTTGTTTTTATTTTAGATTGAAAAATGAAAAGTAATCCGTTAAACGTTCTAAACTTATTATTAGCATACTTTCAAGCGTTAAACATACCAGATAGTGTCACAAATTATCATTAAACGGAGTTGGCCAAAAAAATAAAAGAAATTTTAATAGATGCACACATGATTTCAATGATGTAGAAATGATTACTGATGACTCTTTGGATTTTCAAGAAGCGTATAAAGACCATAATACGGAAATAATTGAAGATGAAGTGCAACATCATATTCCTGATCCGGATATAGCACCAACAAATCAATGTACAGCAGATAATGAAGAACTAGATTTTGAATACAAAAAAAGAGCTGTAGATTTTTGGAGAAGTAGCCAAACGAAGTAAAATTTAAGTCTCAAAACAGTGTAAAACAGATTCAACAAAGTATCATTTATTAGTCAGCTACGTTGTTGGGCTCATTCAATTAATAAAGGTGGCACGTATAGAGAAAAAGTAGCACAAATTTATCAGTATACCCTGGATAATTTTAAAGCAGCTCTCGACAGTGGTTCAATTATCCAAGATGAAGATATAATTCGATGGGCCTTACAAGCTAAAAAAGAAATTGGTTTTGATGATATTAGATTCAAAGCTTCTAAACATTGGTTACTTAAATTTAAGCAAACACACAGAATAGTTTCTAGGAAAAAAATAAGTTCATAACAAGGAAAACGCTAGAAAGTACTGCAGAACTTACGGCTAAAGCTGAAGCATTTACCGATGACGATAAATCGTGTATACCAAGGATTGGACTTAAAAATTTGTATAATTCAGATCAGAGCGAATTTCAGTTAGAAATGCATTCTGGAAGATCATTAGCAGTAGAAGGAGAAAAGCAAGTGCAATGTCTGGTACAGACAATTTCAGCAACAACGAATAGTTATACTATACAGCCACTAATATCAGCTACTGGACAGCTGTTGTCACCGCTATTTCTAGTTTTAAAAGAACCAAATGGCAAGTTTGGCCCTATTGTAGAACAAAACATATTTAGACCAGTAAACGTGTACGTGCAAGCATCCAAATCTGGAAAATTAACAACAAGTAAGGGAACTAATAACAATTTTTACATTGTAATATCGTTGATCAGTTAATTAGTAAGTCGTTTAACCCATTAAAGCCCACGCTAAGACTGGTTGAGATAGCGACAAACAAACTGTGCTATCTTTTGCATGAGTGAAAAATAAAATATACGTATTTTTTTTTATGTTATTTTCAATTGTTTATAACAAATTATTTAAACAAATTACAAAAAAATTCATAATTATCAAAATCTAAATGCGGGAATCGATTCTGGAGGTGAAATCAAGACGAAAACCTATATAACACTTTTTTGTCAGAATTCAATTTGTTAGTGTAACGTAGGAATAAACAATTGCATGTTGGGGAGAAAAAGTGACCATGTCAAGTCCCAAGCAAAATCTATCTGGAATAGCAAAAAATAAACTGTGCTATCCTTTGCATAAGTAAAAAATAAAATATATATATTTTTTCTTATGTCATTTGCAATTGTTTATAACAAACTATTTAAACAAATTATAAAAAAATTTATAATTTTCAAAATCTGAATGCGGAAATCGATTCTGGGGGTAAAGTTTAGACGAAAACCTATATAACACTTTTCTGTCAGAGGCCAATTAGTTATTGTAATGAAGGAAGAAACATTCGGCCTCCTGAGAGTGTTTCAAAAAATCGTATAAAATGAAGCTAATTATTGTATTTATCCATCAATATTGGCATGAATTATTGTAAATATAATCGGTGGGATTGAATTATTGTTCATTGCCATGTCCTTCTTTATGACTTTTGCAAACAGGCATAGAACATTTCTCACAATACCATTCCGTTCTTGTCCGACATGTTGAAATTCCACATTTCCTAAGACTCCCATGTTTCATCACGTGTTCTTGGGATGAAGTTTCACTCTGTTTCTGTCGTTTGGGGGGACGTTTGGAAGATAACTTGTCAATATAATATTCACAAACTTCTTGAACAATATCTTTGGAACCTTTTCTTTCGTCTGGATGTAACTTATTGTAAATCACTGTAGCGTTTGCTAAGGATGCTTGGATGAGCCGTAATACAAGGCACCATGTCCATTTCTTACTTCGAATTGTAGGCATCAAAGCATTACAGTGTTGATCATGTAGATCGACGCCACCCATGTGTTCATTATACATAGAGAAACAATGAGGAAAAAGAATAGATTTTTTCGATGATTCCTGCCATCTCTGCATTTCAACTTTTGGTTCATTTCCATATTTCGAAGAGAGAATCGATACTGGCTTTGAGTCCATAACTGTAATATAATTCAATTTTGAATTCACTTCATGCATTGAAATAGTGTATCCTCTTTTAGCTTTTTTTGGCATTTCGACTTTCACTTTCACACGATTATGCCGAACAGTTCCTGTCGCCGATAAACCATTTTTTTTCAAATGAATCATAAGATCTGGGTTTGTGAAAAAGTTGTCAAAATAAATATGATACTTTTTCAGTTCTTCTCTCTGTGATTTTTCTAATAAATTCGAAAGTAACTTTATCACCACTCTAGACCCTAAACCAACGGCAACTAAAGCATTTCGTTCATCGATTCCTGATTTACCAGTGTAAATATCAAGATCATATATATACCCATCAGAAGAACAGACTGCCCATTCTTTTATTCCAAATCTAATGGGTTTATTCCTTATACATTGCTTGATACCAAACCTACCAAAGTATTTTACCATTATCTCATCTATTGATAAATTATAGTCAAAGAAACCAAATTGCATACAATTCTCACGAAACATATCATACAGAGTTCTAACCTTCCAGACTTTATCATTTTGATCAGTTTCTTGAAGTTTATAGAATCGTATGTTCTTTTTTATGGCAACGAAATTATTTCTAGACATAAGTTCCGCAATTACTGGACACTGAAGTATTCGCTTTTTTGACCAGTAATCACGAATACTTTTTCTAGAATTGAAGATAGTAATCATTATGATTGTAATAAATTTTTCTAGATCATCCATACATAAATCAAAATGATTTTGAGAAGTGGCTTCAATGACATGGTTTTTCATTGATTTCGAAAAGAAAACCTCAAACAACTCAAAAGCATTTTTGGATTGCAATGATGAAATAGGTGAAATATTGAAGTTGCTCTCGACATGCGGAGAAATATCATTCAAAGCATCATTTTTCCAACTGTACTTATGATTCGGTTCCAACAATTTCTGAGTACTTGTGTATGTACTTTTAACATGTTCGTAAGAACCTGATGGTAATTCATTTGATAATGTATCTTCATTTGGATCACCGTCCGAATCTCCATCTGAACTTTCATATTCATTAGGAATGAATGCTATATCAATATGTTGACCTTCATCACTATCAGAATCTTCAACTAAATTTGGTAGATCGCTAATTCTCCGTCTCGGCATTATCAGTAACGTTACCAATTTAGAACAAAATAAAAACTAAAAGTTTTCCGAAATTATTATTTCAAAGAATAGATCCAATGTATAAATGTTTTCAACCGTTAGCCCGCCACTCAAACGTGATCTCTAACACGGAAGGATTTACGAAATGAAATAAACTTATCCAATTACAGTATAAGATCTCAAAATTTATCAGTAAAAAATACTGATATGATTCCAGATACCATGTGTGAGAATGAAAACACTTATTTGTCAATAGTTTATTTCTACATAAAGATATCAAATTGAACTCTGACAAAAAAGTGTTATATAGGTTTTCATCTCAATTTTATCCCCCGAATCGATTTCCGCATTTAGATTTTGAAAATTATGAATTTTTTTGTAATTTGTTTAAATAATTTGTTATAAACAATTGCAAATGACATAAGAAAAAATATATATATTT